GGCCAGGATCACGCCCCCGGAGAACTTCAGCCCCAGCACCGACGTCCCCGTCACCATCGGGCTCCTGCCAGGGCCGCGGGAAACCAGTTTGGATCCCAGTCTGGATCCCAGTTTGGATCCCAGTTTGGATCCCAGATTGGATCCCAGTTTGGATCCCAGTTTAGATCCCACTTTAGCTCCCTATTTTGATCCCAGTTTGGATCCTGGTCTGGATCCCAGTTTGGCTCCCAGTTTGGATCCCAGTTTGGATCCCAGTTCGGATCCCAGTTTGGATCCCAGATTGGATCCCAGTTTGGATCCCAGTCTGGATCCCAGATTGGATCCCAGTTTGGATCCCAGATTGGATCCCAGTTTGGATCCCAGTTTGACCAGTTTGGATCCCAGACTGGATCCCAGTTTGGCTCCTGGTCTGGATCCCAGTTTAGATCCCAGTTTGGCTCCCTATTTTGATCCCTGTAAGATCCCAGTTTGGATCCCAGTCTGGATCCCAGTTTGCCCAGTTTGGATCCCAGTTTGGCTCCCAGTTTGCCCAGTTTGGATCCCAGTTTGGATCCCAGATTGGATCCCAGTTCGACCAGTTTGGATCCCAGTTTGGATCCCAGATTGGATCCCAGTTTGGATCCCAGACTGGATCCCAGTTTGGATCCCAGACTGGATCCCAGTTCGACCAGTTTGGGTCCCAGATTGGATCCCAGTCTGGATCCTAGTTTGACCAGTTTGGGTCCCAGTCTGGATCCTGGTTTGGCTCCTGGTCTGGATCCCCGTTTAGATCCCAGTTTGGCTCCCTATTTTGATCCCAGTCTGGATCCCAGTTTAGATCCCAGTTTGGCTGCTAGTCTGGATCCCAGTTTGGATCCCAGTTTGGATCCCAGTTTGGATCCCCCTCTGGATCCCAGTTTGGATCCCAGTTTGGATCCCACTTTGGATCCCAGTTTAGATCCCACTTTAGCTCCCTATTTTGATCCCAGTTTGGATCCTGGTCTGGCTCCCAGTTTGGCTCCCAGTTGGATCCCAGCACGGTGGAGTCGTTGACCTTGAGGAGCCGGGAGATCCCCCGGAATCGCGCCAGGGATCCGTAGGATCCCACCGTGTCCGCGGCCAGGATCACGCCCCCGGAGAACTTCAGCCCCAGCACCGACGTCCCCGTCACCATCGGGCTCCTGCCAGGGCCGCGGGAAACCAGTTTGGATCCCAGTCTGGATCCCAGTTTGGACCAGTTTGGATCCCAGTTTGGATCCCAGTTTGGGTCCCAGATTGGATCCCAGTTTGGATCCCAGATTGGATCCCAGTTTGACCAGTCTGGATCCCAGTTTGGATCCCAGTTTGGATCCCACTTTGGATCCCAGTTTAGATCCCACTTTAGCTCCCTATTTTGATCCCAGTTTGGATCCTGGTCTGGATCCCAGTTTAGCTCCCAGTTTGGATCCCAGATTTCCCAGTTTGGCTCCCAGTCTGGATCCCAGTTTGGATCCCAGATTGGATCCCAGTTCGACCAGATTGGATCCCAGTTTGGATCCCAGATTGGATCCCAGTTTGGATCCCAGTTCGACCAGTTTGGATCCCAGTTTGGATCCCAGTTTGGATCCCTGTTCGACCAGTTTGGATCCCAGATTGGATCCCAGATTGGATCCCAGTTCGACCAGTTTGGATCCCAGTTTGGATCCCAGTTTGGATCCCTGTTCGACCAGTTTGGATCCCAGTTTGGATCCCAGTTTGGACCCCAGTTTGGATCCCAGATTGGATCCCAGTTTGGATCCCAGTTTGGATCCCAGATTGGATCCCAGTTTGGATCCCAGTTTGACCAGTTTGGATCCCAGTTTGGCTCCCAGTTTGCCCAGTTTGGATCCCAGTTTGGATCCCAGTTTGGCTCCCTGTTTTGATCCCTGTTAGATCCCAGTTTGGATCCCAGTTTGGCTCCCTGTTTTGATCCCAGTTTGGATCCCAGTTTGGATCCCAGTTTGGATCCCAGTTTGGATCCCAGTTTGGATCCCAGATTGGATCCCAGTCTGACTCCCAGTCTGGATCCCAGTCTGGATCCCAGTTGGATCCCAGCACGGTGGAGTCGTTGACCTTGAGGAGCCGGGAGATCCCCCGGAATCGCGCCAGGGATCCGTAGGATCCCACCGTGTCCGCGGCCAGGATCACGCCCCCGGAGAACTTCAGCCCCAGCACCGACGTCCCCGTCACCATCGGGCTCCTGCCAGGGCCGCGGGAAACCAGTTTGGATCCCAGATTGGATCCCAGTTCGACCAGTTTGGGTCCCAGATTGGATCCCAGTCTGGATCCCAGTCTGGATCCTGGTTTGACCAGTTTGGGTCCCAGTCTGGATCCTGGTTTGGCTCCTGGTCTGGATCCCCGTTTAGATCCCAGTTTGGCTCCCTATTTTGATCCCAGTCTGGATCCCAGTTTGGCT